GCGCCAGGGGGGGTTCACCGCGGCCTCCGCTCCCCAAGGCAACGCGGAGCATCTCCACAAGAGGGGAGGCACTTCGCTGCGCCCTGCGTCTGGGGCCGCCCGCCCGCATGCGCGCCACGCGGCGGTCGCGCTGCACCCCGCGCAGCCAGTTCCAGCTGGTCCGCGCGGCGAGCCCGACCCCGTGGGCGAAGCCGGCAGCTGCGAAAAGAAGCACTGCGAGCTCGGCGATCATCTCGCCCTCAGCGTCCGTCGCGATTCAAAGCGAGACGCGATGCGGGCTGCGCTGCCACGTGCCACGGCTAAGCGCGCGTTGGGACGGAACGGGGAGCGCGAACGGTAGCCGCACCGCCGGTTGACCGGGAATCCGAGGCCGACCGCCGACGGACCGACCGGGCTGCAACTGGCGAGTCCTCTACCCCTCATGAGGGTGCCGGGCTGTGGCCGGGCGCGGGCACGCCCCATGGCCATCCGAGGCCGGCAGGCGCGGCGCTGGAGCCGAGGCGCAGCGTATCGGCACGGCGCGGGCCCCAGTGGGCCGTTGCCAGAAGCCGCAGCAGGGCCCCATTGGGCCTGAGCGACCAATGCACCGCGGGCCCCGGTGACCCGCTCTCCTGAGCCGGCACGCAGACCCAGCGCAGGGGCGGAGGACGCACTGCGCCACCGGAGCCGAAACGAGCACCTCGGCACGGTGCGGGCCTCAATGGGCCGTCGCCAGACAATCGCATCAGTGCCCCAGTGGGCCTGAGCGACAACCTCCCAGTGGGGCCCCAATGGGCCGACCGAGCACGTCCATTGACCATGCCGGCGGAACTGGGGGGGGCGTTGACGCGTCGCCGGGAGCCGCGAATACTGCGACGCGGGCCCCAGTGGGCCGTCGCACCGCTCCCAGAGGGCCCCAGTGGGCCGACCGTACGCGTCCAGTGATCGTGCCGGCCAAAAGGCGACAGGGCGCGCGGACGGGCGTCGCCTCGGGCGCGCGCGCGCCGGCTATTGGGCACGCACCACGCCGACCGGTCGAGACGACAGCCAGACCGGCCGGGATCCCCGCGATCCACCTGCCCGCCAGCGCGGGCGTGGGCGCGGGGAAGGGGAGCCGCGGATCCCGTGGCAGGGTGCCTGGGCGCCACAACTTCCCAGGTCTCCTACCGCGGGTCCGCGATACCCTTGCGCATAGTAGCGCGGAGGCCCGACCATGAACCAAAAGAAAGTTTCGAGCCACGGCAAAACGACGAGGGGCGGACGGGGCGCCGACCCGGGACCCAGCGCGCCCGCCGCAAGCCGAGCCGCGACCAGCAGAGGCGACGAGGGAGCGGAGCACCGCGCCCGAGGAAGGACCAGGAGCGCCCAGAACCGGGGAGGGACACCGGGCCGGGGACCCCCAGAACACCGGGGCCGGAAAGCGCGGCAGCGCGGGCCCAGGAGCGCCGCCGACCGACCGGCCCGCAGCGGCGGCGACAGCGGGCGACGACGCGGCGGCGGCGGCACGACGAACCGACAACGACGCGACGACGCGGCAGCGAAGCAGCGCCCGGCCAACCGACCGCCGGCCCGAGCGCACCCACCGGGTCCGCCACCCCACGGAGGGGACCAGGCCGCGACGCAGCGCGCCCGCAGGCAACGCGCCCGAGAGCCGCCGAACGAGAGCCGGAGCCAGCCCGAGAGCCGCCGACCGAGCGAGGCAGCCCAGCCGAGAGCGGGCGGCCCCAAAGGGGCCGGGACACGGGACCGCGAGCGAGCAGGGAAAGGAGTCCACAACCCCACAACGGGGGAGAGGCGGGCGAAGGGCGAACCAGGAAAGGCGAATCAGCGCGGCCCGCCCACCTCGGCGGGGCCGCAAATCCTGCGCACGCGGGGGAGAGGAGGTGGAACCTGCGCGCGCGGCGGGCGAAGCGGGGGGCGGGCGACCAGCCGGCGCGCGGCGACGCGGGCGGGAGAGCGACGGGGCCGGGCCACGGGTAAGCGGGGACAGGGCAGACAAAGGCGGCGGGCCACGGGGACGAGGGGCCGAGCGAGGGGCCCGACGGCGGGAACAAACCAGGACACCGCAGGGCCAACACACGGGCCGAAAACGGGCCACGCGGCGAAAGCAAGACGGGCCGCGGCGAAGGCGAAGCGAAGCGACAGGGAGGGGGCCAGGCCGACGCGCCCAGGGCCGAAGCCGCGGGCAGGACCGAGACGCGGCAGGCGAAACGCGCCCAGGCCAGAGATGGCGCCCCGCCTGCCGCGGTCAAATTATGATTTCACCTGTGCGCGGCAAGGCTGGCCGGCGCCGCGGTGAACGCTCGCGTTCGCTCCCTCCGCGGCGGCCTAGCCGCGGCGCAGCCGACAAAGCCGCGGTTCCATCTTTCTCGCATTTCGCATGCTGTTCGCCTCGCGGCGATGCGCCCCTCGCAAGCTCATTCGCTCGCTGCGTGGCGCGCGGACGCACGCGCAGCGCAGCCTCGCTGCTGTGCCCGCGAACAGCATTCGTGCCTCGGCTGTTCGCTCACGTAAGAAAGTCCCAAGCGAGAGCGCGATTCCCTGAGTAAAATACGAGGAAGTTTCAGGCGGGAGCGGGGGTCCTGGCCAAAATTGTAAGGAAGTCTCAGCCTCGAGTCGTTATTGTTGTAACCCGGGGGCCAGGGGCGCAGTTTGACACTTATGATTTTCCCTGATGAAAAACCGGGTGCGAGCCCCTGGGGAAGCAGTACAATGGAAAAACGCATGATCACTGGAGGGGGGGTCGAAAATAACTGTTCAATAATGAGAAGTCAGCAACAACAACATCAACAATAACCACCACCACCACCACCACCACCACCACAACAACAACAACAACAACAGCAACAACAACCACAACAGCAACAACAGCAGCAGCAGCAACAACAGCAACAACAACAACGACAACAACAACCACAACAACAACAACAACAACAACAACAACTACAGCAACAACAACAACAACAACAGCAGCAGCAGCAACAACAACAACAACAACAACAACAACAACCACAACAACAACAGCAACAACAGCAACAACATCAACATCAACAGCAACAACAACAACAATAACAACAACAGCAATAACAACAATAACAACAACAGCAGCAGCAGCAGCAGCACCACCACCACCAACAACAACAGCAGGAGCAGCAGCAGCAACGACAATAACAACAACAACAACAACAACAACAACGACAACAACAACAGCAACAACAACAACAACAACATCAACAACCACAACAACGACAACAACAACAACAATAACAACAACCACAACCATAACAACAACAACAAAAACAACAACAACCATAAGAACAACAACAACAACAACAACGCCAACAACACCAACCACACCAACCACAACACTATCAACAACAACACGAACAACAATAACAACAAGAACAACAATAACACCAACAAGAACAAGAGCAACAACAAGAACAACAGCAACAATAACAACAGCATTATCACCCTCAGTAGCGTCATCGTACTCATCAGCAGCAGCATCATCATTGTCACCACTACCACCGTCATCATCATCATCATCACCATCATCATCACCATCATCATCATCGTCATCGTCATCGTCATCGTCATCCTTGTCATCGTCATCATCGTCATCCCCCGCGGAGGGCGAAATGGAAAAAAGGACCTGATGCTGCCATCGTGTGGCGTTACGTCGTTTCCTGTTCTTTCACCCTCCCGCGGCAGCCCAGCCCGCTTTCATGCTCATCACGCAGTCACGTTGATTATGTGGCCTCCTGTCGCCGGCGTATCGAGAAAGCTGGGACAGGGAGATAAGCACGTGCTTGACCCCACTTGCACCTATAGATGCACGGGCCACGCCCGAGGGCCCGAGGAAGAAGATCGAGCCACTCTCCGAAAACAGATCGTCTTCACCCCGAAGCTTGACTCCAGCCGTCTTCTCGTGTGGCGCCCTCCTGCGGCCTCCAAAGCACGTGACGTGTGGCGTTCTACTGGTTCATGTTCTGATTGATCCCCCTGCGGCAGCCCACTGTGAAATCGTCATAGGGTCTCGTGATCTGGCATCTTGTGGCCTTTTATTCCTGTTCAGCTCAAGTCTTGCCATGAGGACCCCCGGATAAGGAACGGAGCCCGGTGTTCGGGCCCACCTGCGCAGGCAGATGCACGAGCAGCGCCAGAGGGCCCGAAGAAGACGAGGCCCTCCGAAACCAAGAGTGTGCCCTCATCCCGAAGCATCACTGCAGCCGCCTTCTCGTGCAGCCTCCGCCTGCGGCCTGCAATAGCCTGGGTCACTTGACTTCGCGAAGCGCGCCCCGCGATGCCCGACGCGCGGCGATCTTCGCGCCCTCGCGCCGCCGCCCTGAAGAAGGACGCACCTCAAGAACCCGGGCCGCGATGCACCAGGCACGAGTATCTTCGCGCCCCTGAGGGCGACCTCGAACAGCACTTGGCGGCGCGCACGGGGGGGTGGCGCGGAGAGGCCGGGCGGCGGGAGGGGGGGCACTGGACGGATACGCACATCTTGGAAGCCCTCCTGGCTTCTGAGCAGGCTGCTCGGAAGCTCCCGGGCCCTTTGAAGAAGGCCCTTCCACTCCAAGAAGCCCCCCGCCTTCAAAGAAGGCCGAACCCCGGCGTCTGACCTCTTCTCCGAGGTCTGTAGCTGGTGTTGAACGAGCAGCGCCAGCCCAGCTCCCTCTGCCCTGGTCCTCTCCCAGCCCTCTGACGTCATGATTTTTGTCATGGCATCGACCCCCCAATGTCTGGACCCATTCCCCGGGATCGGTTTTTCATCCCGAACCGTTTTCGACGGTCCCAGGGCCCAGCGAGGGCCCCTGGAGGCCGAAAGTCGAAAAAAACAAACAAACAACAAAAAAACAAAAACAACAAAAAATGCTATGTTTTTTCACGACGCGAGGGGTTGTGGGGGTCTGGAGCCCCTGGAGTCATCGTCCTCGTCTTCCTGCCCCCTCCCTCCTCGGAACGGCGGGGGGCGCAGCTGGAGCCCCGGAGGGGAGGCGGGGGGGGGAGGGCGCATCTCCCCCTCGCGGCGCAGGTAGCTCGGCTCCTCGCGGGGATCCGCTCCGCAAGCTCCCCTCGGCCCCGCCCGCACTCCCGACTCCTCCATCTCCAAGACTGGAGGAGGGGGAGGAGGGCGAGGAGGAGGGAGGAGAAGGGAGAGGAGGAGGGAGAGGAGGAGGGAAAGAAGGGAGAGGAGGGAGAGAAGGAGGGGGTGGAGGAGGAGGAGGAGGAGGAGGAGGAGGAGGAGGCGGAGGAGGAGGAGGGGGAGGAGGAGGGGGAGGAGGGGGAGGGGAGAAGGGGGACGAGGAAGAGGAGGAGGCGAGGACTCGATGCGGATGCGGGGGAATGCGACCCAAAAGGGCTGCCCCCGGTAGCCTTGGCACAGCTCCCAATACCCTGGGAGGGGCGCTGGAAAGCCTGATCGGGAGGTGTTCTCCCCCGCCCCCCGCCGCCCCCACCGCCCCGCCCAGCGGAGGGAAGGGGGAGGGGGAGGACAGGGGGCAGGAGAACACCTCACTATCAAGATTACCTAACCCCCCGCCCCTCGCACATCCGGCGGTATCCTGGGAATCACACGACCGATCGATATTCGAAACACCTGCCCACACGCTCCCCCTCCCCCACGCACACACACATGCAACTACGTGCGCCAAAGGCCCACCAACCGCGCACACACACCACATAACACCCGCACGCACGTTTCCTCATTGCTAGGAAGGCACCAACTATACACCAACACCGATCCTGGCCAGGATCGGTGTTGGTGTATAGTTGGTGCCCTCCGAATTGCGAAACGCTCCTCGAAGCCCTCGCCCTCCGCAAGGACTCGATGGGACCTCACGGAGGGGGACCTCTGCCCGATCTCTGCTCTGGCTCGAAGCTCGACGCGCCTGGAGCTCGGGAGCAGACCGCGCCGAGCCCCGTGGCCGACGAGAGCGCTCACGGCTGCGCTCGAGGCCACAAGAGACCCCCACAGGGGAACGGAGGAGGGGGGAGACGGAGAGGGGGGAGGCAGGAAAGGGAGAAGCGAGGAGTGCGAGGGCGAAAGGCGGGTCTTACCTTCAACCCTGCCGTTGCATCGAGCTCCGGCATGCTGTGTGGACCCGGGGAGCACCACAGGTCATGAGGATCACTTCCCGGGTCGACATGCAAATAACCGGTAATAGCAGTCTGATCCACTGATCTGGGTACGTATCCGCGAACGTTGCCGCGCATCATAGTCTGATTATCTCGACCCTTGATGAGCCCGTCAATGTCGATGGTCGCGAAAATGGGGCACAGCATACCACACTCGGTGATCTCTTGTGTGGTGATAAGAACTGCGCACCACGCGCATTGGAGGGTCTAGCCAAGCAAATGCGCGCGCCAGAAAGAATGCCCAAGGTCGGAACAAGATCTGACATCTCGAACCCTTTCCTCCAAGACGGCCCCCGAGACCGCCAGCAGGCCCCCAACGGACCCCCAGAGGGCCCTCAAGAGGCCCACAGCGGCAACCACGAGGCCCCAAGAAACCTCCCCTGGCCCCCAGGAAACCCCGAAGAGGCTCCCAAGAGGCCCCAAAAGGGGCTCCCAGGATCCCCGTGGAGGCTTTCAGGAGGCCTCTCGTCCACGACCCAAGCACGGTGCTGAGGTGGGCCAGAAGGCCACCAGATTTAGGTCGGGCGTGTACCCTACAGGCGGATTTTGGACGAAAAAATATTCAACTAATGCCAAAAAATAGTCAAAAACAGATGAATCGTCCCCTGATTATTTTCTACTATTCTTGAATATTCCTCCTGTAGAGGGACAGGTCCCTCTTAGCACCAGATAAACGCAACGATATCTGCTCACCCCGAACAAGCCAAATGAGCTCAGATGTGGATTCGCGTGACCGGTAACCTCTCGCTCTGGCACTTCCTGTTGCTCTCCTGTGTGTTGACCCAGCTGCGCCCGCCCCGCTGCAGTCCCGAAGGAGAGGAGGAGACGAGGACAAGACAGCTCAAGAGCAGTTGCGAGCCACGAGTCCGCTGGCCTGTTGCTGCCAGTTAAGCGGCCCTCTACTGCGAAGTGCGCGCATCCCAGCGGCGCCAGCCGCTAGGAAGACGGTCTTATCTGGCCGACAGCGGGACGGCGCGAGAGGAAGCCATGCCGCCCACGCACGGCAGCATCCCTCAGACCGGCCTCGGAGTGCGACAGGAACAAGTTATTTGTAAAAAAGAATCGAGGAGGAGGGGGAAGGGGAGGAGGAGGAGGAGGAGGAGGAGGAGGAGGAGGAGGAGAAGGAGGAGGAGGAGAATTAGGAGGAGGAGGAGGAGGAGGAGGGGAGGAGGAGGAGGAGGAGGAGGAGGAGGAGGAGGAGGAGCAGCAGGAGGAGCAGGAGGAGGAGGAGGAGGAGGAGGAGGAGCGCCGCGGGGCCGAATGGGCCCAGTCGCGCCTTCGGGGGGGGGGGAGAGCCACGGGAGCACTTGGGGGCACGGCCCGGGCGGAGCGGCCAGACGCACGCGGCGGGGACGCAGAAGAACAGCCACGGAAGAGAGAATCGGCGCCCGCGGTGAGCTTCAATACTTGCCGCTTGCTGCTTCTTGGAGAAAGTCGGTGCCAGCAGCGGGGTCTCTGTCCCAGCGTTGATTTTGGAGGCCCGGCACACCATCTCTCCTGTACGACGCGTCCGGAGGGGCGGCTGCGGCGTCGATGTTAGCTTGGCCGGGGGCTCTCTGTCCGTATCACCTCCCACTTCGACTCCCTGAACAATCCCAAGACCTGCCTGGTCCGTGCTGGTCGCAGGCGCCTGCTCGTTGGCCATCCCATGCTTTCATGGGGGTTCTAGGGTTCTAGGTTGGCCTTGCGCGCGCCCCGAGAGGGCACGAGGTCCTGGCAGGGAGAAGCAGAGCGGCAGCCGCCGACACGACGGCGACGAACGGCGACGGCGAGGACGGGGACGACGGACGTACGAGCGCAGCGACGACGGGCGACGACGACGGCGGCGGCGGGAGCAGCCACCCACTTGGCGCGGGCCTCGTCAGTCTGTGCTTTACGGGGGGGAGAGGGAGGGGAGAGAGGAGGAAGGATGTAGGTGAATGGTCGCAGGGGGGGGGGAGGAGGCCCAGACCGCGGACGATAGGACCTCTTCGTGGCCTGGGCCCCCGGGGCTCCGAGCCCCTCCCCGAGACCTGCTCCTCGCCCTGGCTCGTCCTGGCGGCCCCCGCGACACGAGGAGAACCCCCTGAAGGCCGAAGGCCGAAGGGGAAGCAGGCGCTCCGTGCCCTTGGCCGCGGAGCCGCGAGGCCCAGGGCGGGGAGGGGTAGGAGAAGGGAGAGACGGGGAGGGGAGGGGAGGGGAGGAGAGGGGAGGAGGGGAGGGGGAGAAGGAGGGGAAGGAGGAGGAGGAGAAGAGGAGGAGGAGGAGGCGGAGGAGGAGGAGGGGAGGAGGAGGAGGGAGGAGGAGGAGGCGGAGGAGGAGGAGGAGGAGGAGGAGGAGGAGGAGGAGGCGGAGGAGGAGGGGAGGAAAGAGGAGGAGGAGGAGAAGGAGGAGGAGGAGGAGAAGGAGGGGGAGGAGGAGGGGGGAGGAGGAGGAGGAGGAGGAGGACGAGGAGGAGGAGGAGGAGGAGGAGGAGGAGGAGGAGGAGGGGGAGGGGGGAGGACTCGATGGGACCATATGTAGGGGGACCTCTGCTCGAGGAGGGAGAGAGAAGAGAGGGGAAAAAGGGAGGAAGATACACGCGCAGGTCTCCCGAGGTCTCCAAAGGCCTCCCGAGGCTTCAAAGAACCTCGATCCTCCCCCCCCTACCCTCCCACCCCCTCCTCCTCGTCCTCGTCCCCTTCCTTACACCCTCTGGGGGGGGGGGGGCGAGGGGTGAGAGAGACGCGCACCAAGGAGTCCTGGAGGACCCAGCACCTGTAGCCGCTGAAGCTGGTCAACACCTCGAGGCGAGTTTCCCGTCCCAGGTCCCTCCTCCCCCTTCCAAGGAGTAAGGGGAAGGAGAAGGAGGAGGAGGAGGAGGAGGAGGAGGAGGACAAGGAGGAGGAGGCGGAGGAGGAGGAGGAGGAGGGGAGGTAGAGGAGACTGAGACCTCTCTTTTCTTCAACGAGCGGTGCTGCAGCTGCAGCCTCCCCCGAGCACAGGCCCCCCTTCAGAGCATCAGACAGACAAGTCGGGTTTGTGGGAGGATCGTGAACACGGCGTCCACCTCCAGCGTCCTGAAACACGAAAACAAGGCGGATGGTGTTTACCACGTGTGTGCCGCCTGGAAGCCGCCGTCTTGCTCTCGGACGGCCAACAAAAACCGACCAAGGGCGACAGACCGCGGGGAACGGGTCGGAACCCCCGCACCGAAAGATCGCGGCGCCAGGGCCCCGGAAAGGGGAAGAAGAGGCACTGCGGCACCGGCAAGCGGACGACACACGCTGCGCCGGACCCCCCCCCCGAGCAGGCGCGGCCGGCGGCGGCGACCTGCCAAGCCGCCGCCCTGGCCGCTCACGAGGAGCTCGGGCGTCTCTGGACCGTCTGCTTGGATGACCGCGGGGGGTGCTAAGGGCATAGGGGGATTTGGAGTGGATGCCAAGGTGGGTCATGTCTGGCCTGAGCTAGCTGACACTGCAGCTCTGGTCTAAGTGGGCGGAGCCCACCTCGCGGATTATCTGATCACGCTAAACTGTTTAGGGCAGTTAAAGCCCACTGATAGACTAGGTTAGCCCAGATATAGCCCGCCTTAGCATTCGCGTCTAACCCCCTATCCCCTGAATAACACCCGCTGCCATCCAGGTGGTGGGGCGACGAGATGTATACATGCCCACCGCCGCTGGCCAGGCCCATCCTTGGCCCAGGAGCGGTGTATATACCTCCCTGGCCAAGCCAAGGAGCGCATGCACACCGCCCCTGGGCCCAGGATGGGCCTGGCCTCGTCGCCCGACCGTGGCGCCCCAGGAGCAGCGCCGCCAGCTGCCGCAGCGCTTGGGCGGCCGCCGCGGCCCCCGCAGCCGCCGCGGGAGCGAACCGAGCGCCCGCGGCCTGCCGGAGCAGCCCCGCCGCACTCGCAGGGCTCTCCCGCCGCCGCCGCCCCGCCTGCGGCGAGGGCGGCCCTGGCAGGCCAGGCGGGCCGCGCAAAGCACTAGCTGGGGAGACAGCGCACCGGCGGGCGGGGCCTCGGGCGGCGCCGGAGGGCGCGGATGACGGCCGAGCGCGGCACGACGGGGCCCCCCTGGAGGGAGCCCCGAGGGCGCCCACTGCGAGGAGGTGCTGAGAAAACGACGACAGCTCCGTGCGGGGCCCCCCTGGACACGGCAGGGGGCCCGGCGCCGCTCCGCCCCTCCGGCGGCGCCCACGCAGCAGGCTGGCAGACCGCCTCGCCTTCGGCGGGCCCCGGCAGCGCCCAGGCGGCGCTCGCCTCCGCCCCGCGGCGCGCTGCTTGCAGGGGCCAGGGTGCCGGGCCCGCTGGGGGCGCCTGCCAGAGCTGCCCCCACGCTGGGGAGCACGACGAAGCCAGGACGAGGACACAATCGGGCGAGGATAGATCGAAAATCTCTGAGATCTGGCGGCTCTGGGAGGTGTCTCGGGCGCCGCGGCCTTCTTTCTCGGAGCGTTCTGGGACGCTCCGAGAGCGTTCCGGAGCGCTCTGGAACGGATCTATCCTTGCCCTGGCCCCATCCGAGGGCAGCGCGCTGGCCAGTGCTGCGGGGAGCCGCAGGCCCGGGGCCGCTGGCACCGGCACTGCGCCAGCTGCAAGAAACGGGCGGCACGGCGGGCAGCGGGCGCGGCCTGCGCCCTCTGCGGCACCGCGCCGACGAGGGAGCTCAAGGGCGAGACCAGGAGACGCGCAGAAACAACGACAGAAACATGAAAAACTCGGAGGTCCGCGCGGACTTCTCGGGTCGGCGCTGGGGCCGCCTGGCGGCGCCTCTAGCGCCGCCCCTGGCGCGCTCCCCGCGCTGGGGAGACGGTTCCAGCGCAGATCCACGAAGTCCGCGCGGACCCCCGATTTTTCAATGTTTCTATAACCTTTCGCTCCCCTAGCAGCGGCACCACTCAGCGGGCGAAGAACGGTATAGAATAAACTTTTTCGCCGACGGGGACGCCTGCCCCTGGGTGGCTGGAAAGCTTATACCCCTACGGTGCCACCGTAGGGATTGAAACTTTCCAGCCGCCCCAGGACAGGCGCCCCCGACAGCGAAAACGTTGATGTGATACCGTTCTCCCCCCGTGAAACCACCTCGGCGCAATGCTGCGCCGTTGCGTGCCGGGCGACGCCAAGGGGCTCGGAGCTGCCGCGGCGCGCCCTCTGCAGGCAGAGGCGGAGAGGCCGACGAGCACGCGCGGTGTGCCCTGCCGCGCGTGCCCTCGCGGGGAGTGGTGCCGCCGGCGCTGGAGGCGGGCGGCCGCCACGGCGCCACGGCCCAGCCGTCCTGCGATGCCTGCGGCTGCTGGCGCGCGACCGCGCGCGGCTCCTCGCCGGGGACGACGGGATGCCGGGGCCTCGGAGGGCCACGTCGACACTCTGCGAGCGGGGCGCGGCCAGCGGAAGCGGCCAAGGACGGGCCGAGGGGGAATCTCCGCTCTCCGGGTTTTTGACCCTACCAAATGGCGCGGGGTGGAGCTACTTGGTCGATCCGGCCAGAAAAGAAGATGTGATAACTTTGGGTAGGTTTTGCTGATTTCAGAGATATTTGACAATTCATTTTGAGAAACCAGATTTTTCGCACCTGTAGACGGCTGTGAGGGTGCGAGGATGAGCAGCTCCGCGCCGGGGGCGGCGGGGGGGCGGCCGCGGACGGCGCCCCCTGGCGCGCCGTCGGGGTTTTGCGGAGGCGGGCGGCGGCACTGCAAGACACCGCCACTGGGCGCCAGCTGCGCGAGGGCGGTCGGGGCAGAGGCGGGCAGGCCGCGCGGCCGCGCCTCCCCGGCCGCCTCGCCGGCCAGGCAGGTCGGCACCCCGGGGGGCACCTCGACGCGCTGCTGTGCCGTCGTGGTCGCGTCGCCGCACAAGCACGGAGCCGTTGTGGGCGAATGGCGAAGCCCCCCCTTGCCGCGCAAGAGGAGGAGGAGGAGGAGGGGGAAAGAAAGAAGGAAGGAAGGCAGGGAAGAAGGAAGGAAGGAGGAAAGAGGAAGGAGGAAGGAGGAGTGAGGAGGAGGAGAGGAAGAGGCCGAGGAGGAGTAGTGAGGGGGAGAAGGAAGGAGTGAGGAGGGGTGAACGGGGGGGAGGAAGGAGGCGGGGAGGGGAGAAGGAGGAGAAAGGAAGGGGATGGCGGAAGCGAAAGGAAGGGGGAGGGAGGAAGGATCAAAAGAGGACTGGGGGAAGAGGACGACGACGACGACGACGACGAAGACGACGACGACGACGACGACGACGACGGGCACCACCACCACCACCACCAGCACCACCACGGCCACCACCACCACCACCACCACCACCCCTTGCGAACATTTGATCCAACACGCTGCTTATTCTTTCACGTGTTCCTACCTTTCCCCTGTACCCGCCCGCGAAGTCTATGAACCAGCCCTTTTGCTAGGGAATGTTCTTTTCACACCAGCTCTTGGGAGCAGAATCCCGCAGCTCACTGTGCGTGTGCACCGCGCCAACATGGTCGTCATGCGAGCTGACGCGCCCGCGGGCAGCGCACCAACGGGAGCGAAGTGCGAAGAAGGCTCGGTAGAAAGCGCCGCCAAGGAGTTTCAGACGTGCAGGGCGTGTCAGAATAAGCTGTGAGGAAATACCGAGCGGAAACCGATGCCGCTTCAGTTCGGCTCTCGCAGATTTTGAAAAAAAATGCGAGCACGTCTCCGGCGAGAGCGCCAGCCCTGGGTGCTATAACGCACACGACCAAAGCGTTTCAGAGAAAACCAGAAGGAAACATCGAGTGGGAGACATTATCGTCGTGGTTGGGTCTCCAACAACCCAGATCTGGAACGAAGCCCGCGTTCGAGCGGGAGGCTCGTTTTTCAAGAAATGTAAGCCAGCGTCGGGGCAAAAACGCTCAAAACCAATTCCATTGAGCGCCGATAAAAATTCCCTAGACACGAAGGGACGACGACGACGACGACGGAGACGACGACGACGACGACGACGACGACGACGACAACGACTACCACGACGACGACGACGACGGCGACGACGGCGACGACGACGACAACGACGACGACGACGACGACGACGACCAGGACGACGACGACGGCGGCGGCGGCGGCGGGGGCGGCGGCGGGGGCGGCGGCGGCGGCGGCGGCGGCGGCGGTGGCCACGACGACGGCGACTTCTTTGGCTGGGCGCCAACGCGGAAGCGAGAAGCAGCCCATTCAGCAAAAGCCACGGCAGCCAGCCGCGAGAAGAAACCCGCCCAGCCGCGGCTACTCCCACGGCCGACCACCTGGTGAAGGGCCGCCGAGGGCGTGCGGTCGGGGCCGGGCTGGGCGCCAGCGACCTTGTAACAGGAACCCTGGAGCCGAAACCTTGCACCTCTTGGAACGGCAGTTTTGGGTTTGCTTCCGCTTTCTCCCCATGGTTTCCCGCCGCCTCCCGCCGAGGAAGGTCAACTCCTCTGATCCTCGCAGGCACTGTGCCATCAACCCTGACACTCTCTCGCTGCGAGAAACAACAACAACCACCACCACCACCACCACCACCAACAACAACAACAACAACAACAACAACAATTACTAGCACGTGGGGACACTCCGTTCTCACCAGTGCCAGGGTTTTCATAGGAGGCGGGCAATACCCCCACTTTGTGGGGGGGCCGGTTCAAGCTCTACCAAATTTCCAAACGACTCTTCGCCACCACCCACACCCAGCTTCCCGCCCTATGACGTTCGGACACTTCACTTCGTGGCATGCGGACGACCGTGGCTACTATTCAGGGCCCCGCGGCCGACGACGACGGCGTGCGCGCGCGAAGAAAAAACGAATGTGTCCCGCATGGTATTATTTGAC